GGACCATCCTGAGCTGGCCAGGGACCATCCTGAGCTGACAGGGACCGGGACCATCCTGAGCTGACCAAGGACCATCCTAAGCTGGCTGCCCATCATCCAGAGGCAGAGGGGAGACACTGGGTCCAAAACCAGCCCAAAAAAACCCCAAAAAAACCCTCTGGGTACTTTCCCCTTTCCTGCAAGGGTTGGAGCTCAGAGATCCCCAGCACCAGCAAGGCTCACAGGATCCCCTGAGCTGGAAGGGACGCCCAAGGATCAGCAGAGCCCAGCTCCTGAAAGGATGGAGCATTAGATTTAACCCAATATTTGAGCTTCAAGACCCAGCAGGACAGAGCTTTTCCTGCTGAGGCCCAGCAGAGCAGGAGCAGGAGCACACTTGGGTGTCCTGAGCTGCTCTGCTTCACCTCTCCTGCTGCTGCCCCAGCACTGAACCTTCTCAGCAGGGAGGGCTTTGGGCAGAGTTACAAGCAGAAAGGTGATCAGCGTGCTGGGAGCTGCTAATTGATCCCGGAGTGCCAAAACCTGCTCTGAACCATCCCCAGAGAAAGGCTGTGCTGCAATGGCCCCAGGATGGGCACCACACGACCCAGCAGCCAGGGAAATGGGATGCAGATGGGTTTCGCCATCAGGGGAAATATTCCTGGTCCACAGAGGCAAGATGAGTGGAAGAGAAGCTCTAGGAGATGGTGGAGGCCACGGCTCAGCAAAGAGGGAGGAGGCCAGCAGCTCGTGCTGCAGCAGGGGAGCAGCTGAGGAAGGAGCTGCCAGATGGCTTTCTGTGAAAAAGGGCCATTAATATTCTCCTGCCAGCTCCCAGGTTTAATGGGACGTGGGAGCTGACAAACCCAGCACTTGGAAGCCGGGAAATTCCCAAAGCTTCCCAGCCCCAGGGGACAGCTCCACCTGCTCATGCAGCAGCGTGAGAGCCCAGGAGAAAGGAGCTCCTGCAAGGGCCCAGAGCTGGAACCCAAAATGTCCTGTCAAAGGCAAAGCCCCTGCTGTCTGCTGAGCTGCTTTGGAACAGGGGACTCCGAGAGAAGCTGCTGCTGACCAGGAGAGCCCACACAGGGCCAGAACACAGGGCCAGCTGCCAGGGCTCAGCGCTGCCCCGGCCCCTTCTCACCCAGGCAGCAGAACCACCCACATGGCCCCAAGCCCCACTCTCAAGGGCGAGGGAGACAAATTCAACAGAAATCCTTCCTGCAGGCTTTTCCCAGCGCCTTGCTGGCTGTCTCCCTCCAAGGGCTGCAGCTCCTCGGGTGCCAGGTGTTGGCATCTCCTCTCTGGCAGGGCAGGAGGCGCGGGCAGCCCCAGCCTGGCAGCAGCCCTGGCACTCGAGGGCGGGCGGGCAGCGCTACTTACTTCCTCTCTCCTCTGTACCACTCAAAGACCGGGGCAGGCACTCCTGCACCTTCGCAGCGGATCAGGCCGTTCCCTCCGAGCATCACGCCGCTGGATTTGAGCTCCTGAATTGTGGGGACGACTGCAAAACAAGAATCGTGAAACAAAGGCACGTTGGCATCTGGACAGGCAGTCACCCAGCGCCGCCGCTCCTCTCGGCCCCGCCGAGGGCTCGTCTCAGCTGGGGCTCCAGCAGGGGAAAACGTCCCACCCTGCCCATCCTGCCGTGGGCCTGCTCTGGAAACCCAGCTGGGACGTGGGGACAGCAGTGCAGCCCTGGAGAAAGCTGCTTTCACTGCCCAGCACAGGCAGGGCTGGCACATTCCCGAATTAGCGATCCGAGTTCAAGCCCTGAGCACTGGGAAAGGCGCGGGAGCCCCAGCACGGGGGACCCTGGCACTGAGGGGGTCCTTATCCCCTGCACTTATCTCCTTCCCCCAAACCTCTGACACCTCACACTAACACTGCAAACCTCCGGAACTATGAGCCAGCCACAAATCCCAGGCAAAAGTGGCTTTCCCACCGTTCCACCGCATATGGAGTTGTTTCAGTAAGTGCATTTTGTCTTTTTAAATAGTAAACATTGTAAATAGTAATAAACTTTTTGAGCTTAGAACTACAGACACCAATAAAGATGAAAAGCAATTGTCAGGTTTTCCAGTTGCCAGCAGAAGGAACCGCCAGCTGAAAATAAAACACAGCAAATTCCTCAGGAAGGAGATTATCAAAGGCAGCAACTGCCTCCTCCTGCAACTTTTTACGCTCTCTGTTTTAAACAATAATTTATGTGCATCATCAAAACGCTGTAAAACCAAACCACATAACTTATAAATAAAAATCTGTTTGTTTTTTCCCCAGCAGTTCTCCAGATGTTGCTTTAGGATGTTTATGGGCAGGGGGAGCTCAGCCTGCCTCGCTCTGCTCCCCCAGCCCAGCCGCAGGAGCCGCTCAGGAGCCCTGCCTGCAGCACCCCACTGCTGGAGGGTCCTGGGACCAGCCCAGCCGAGCCTGGCCATGCCAGCAGCTCTGGAAAAGCTGGGAAGAAAGCACAGAGCTGCTGGCTTGGGCTGTGGCCGGGATGGGAGCTGGTGGTGGCCCCGGGAGCATCTCCAGCCCCAGAGCAGCAGCGCCGAGTGAGCCCCGGCCGTGTCCGGGTGCAAACCCCTCCATGGGGGAAGGCAGAGGGATGGATGGATGGGAATATCTCACCGAAGCACAGGGAGCCTTGCACAGCCCATTTCCACACCTGGAAACGGGGGCACGCCTGGTTTTAGCTGGGTGTGAGTCGATCGTGGCTGGGCGCAGCTATCTCAGCTCTGTGGCTGAGCCTTGCTGCAATTACAGTCAAACCCCAGCAAATGGCTTTGTAAATGTGAAATTCTCCACGGCTGAGCACTGCCAAACCTTGTGCAGCCTTCTCTCTGCCTCCCTGTCCTTTGCTCTGCCTCTTGCACGCCCCTGCCCTGTGTGGATCATCCCAGACCCTTCCCTTGTGTGCTTGGCCCGGCAGCGCCCCAGACCAGCTCTGAGAAGCCCCACGTCCCCAGCCCCAGCACCCGCTGCCTCTGCCAGTCCTGGGAGGTGTTTCCTTGGCAAAACCCTCCCTGTGGCACAGGCTGGCATGTTTTCTGGGAGCTGCAGGCAGTGGCAGCCTCATCCCAGGCGCAGGCAGGGAATGTGCCGTGCCAGGGCCAGCCAGCAGCCCCAGCACCCAGCACGAGCCTGGTGTGGCTGCACTGGGACAGGAGTTCCACCTTCTCCCTGTGCCATCAGCCCGGCAGGCTCAGCCCCTGCCTCCAGCCTCCTCATCCAATGAGTACAGCAAAAAAAAATCCATAATTCCATTCACATTACCGACCGAAGGGCAGAATACACATACAAGCAATTTGCATGGCTTCCCCACTGCTACAAATATAATTTGTGCCATCCCTTGTATGAAATATGTAATATTAGATACTTGTTAGATTATGCCTGTTGTATTAGTGCCCCCCACCCCTTGCAGGCAAGACTGGATGTATATTAGAAACTGATTTACAAGTAAAAGGATGTGGCTTGGCCAGGAGATGGGCCATGGCTGGGCTCCAGGTGTTGATCATCACTATCATCAGTGCTGATCGTCCAAGATGGATATCATGGAAATCCTCAGACAGATCCATGTGAATGCAGCCTTCCCGTAAACTCTCATCAAGAATTCAACTACTCCAGACATTGAATTATTTCTCCTCATCACCAAAAAAGAAATTCTTATTAACCTATAGACTCTGAATAGAAGAAAAGACTAACTGCTGAAATCTTGGCCTCAGGAGGAATTTTCCCTATAAAAACCGCTCGTGCCAGGATGGAAGTGTGTGGGCATAGGGGAAAACCTCTGCTGAGGCTGACTCCTTGTTGCACACCCAGGGCTGACTCCAGGCTCGGCTCTGTCCTTTCCGTGTGGCTGGTTAGATAGAATTTGATCGCAAATAAAATGATTTTTATTTTTAATCTGGCTGAATAAATTCTCATTTATAACACCCACCATCTGCGTAAGAGAACGTACAGATTGTTTCTGCTCCTCCCTGAAAACCACGGGGACACTGGAACGTTCCCCTCCTTCCCCCAGGCTCTGTGAGAGGTGCAGCACTGGAAGAGCTCAGCCCAAGCTGCTGTTCCTAAGAGGCACCAGCCTGCTGCTTCCCCCTGGGCCTGCCCACCTTTCCCGGCTGTTTTGGGGGGATTTTTGTCTTGCCTGGCTGGCTGTTTTTCACACAAAAGCAGAACATCCCTGACACTGGGGATGAGCTGGTGCATAAAATCCTGCGGCTTCCTGCTGCTCCTGGGCCAGCTGGGGAGGGGCTGCCAGCTGCACCCCAGCTCCAAGTAACAATCCCAGGCCCTGCTGCTGGCTTGGGCACCGCTGGAAAACTTCTGAGGAGGGAATCTCCTCAGATGTCCCTTTGAGCAGGATTTCAGCTGCTGCTTGTTCGGAGCAAGCATTGAAACCAATGCTCCCTGCTCCAGGAAATCCCTGGTTACTCCAGGCGTGGAAACACAAAGCAGAGAGAGCTGGAGCCACCCCCAGCACCCTCCCAGGTGCCACCCAGGGCTTGGTGCCACCACCAGAACCCTCCCAGGTGCCACCCAGGGCTCAGTGCCACCCCCAGGACCCTCCCAGGTGCCACCCAGACCTCAGTGCCACCCCCAGAACCCTCCCATGTGCCATCCAGGGCTCGGTGTCACCACCAGGACCCTCCCATGTATTACCCAGACCTCAGTGCCACCACCAGGACCCTCCCAGGTGCCACCCAGGGCTTGGTGTCACCACCAGAACCCTCCCAGGTGCCACCCAGGGCTTGGTGTCACCACCAGGACCCTCCCAGGTGTCACCCAGGGCTCGGTGTCACCACCAGGACCCTCCCATGTATTACCCAGACCTCAGTGCCACCCCAGCACCCTCCCAGGTGTCACCAGACCTCGGTGCCACCCCAGCACCCTCCCAGGTGTCCAGAGGCAGAGCCAGACCCGAGGCATTCCCAGCACCAGGAGTGCTCAGCCCAGCCCCAGCTCTGCTCCAGCCCTTTCCTCCTTCAACATTTTAATGAGCTTCGGGACTTTTAGGCACATTAGTTATGTTGCCCTAATTACTCATTATAATTCTAATGTGCATTTTATATTTAATTACAATGCTTATAAAGATTTGGTATGGACAGTAAATTATTATAACTAGCATGTGCATAATGATTACGAACTGAATTTATTAACTTTTACACGAGCATTCAGGGCTGGAAACTTCCAATTTCACCTTTGTGAGCCCCCATATTGTCTGATTAAACCAACATTTCTGTGGCATTAATTGTAAATGTCAAGGAAAAAAAAAGATCTTTTATTTTCCCTGTTTTCATCAGCTTTTCATTTGGCATCCTAATGCCACCTTTTGTTAGTGAAATTGCTTTCCAGGGCGTTAAGATAAAAAATTCCAGGTAGGAGAACGGGTTTTCTGAGATGTGTTTTGTGCTCAGAGGAACAGATATCAGCGATATTCAAATATATTCTTTTCTGTGTATGCACCCTCCGAGTGTTTTACCAACGCACTAACGAGTCAGACAGTGCTACTTGTACTTTAAATAATTAAGATGGGCTTTCGACACTCTGGATTATTTAATTTCTCTAATTTATTCAGCGCGGCGGCCCTCCTCTCCCCGGATGGATGGAGGGGTTTAAGAATGGCTCCTCGTGTCAGAGCCTTCTCTGCCGGGAGGAACTCCTGAGAGAGCCTGGAACAGCCCCGGGGCTCGGCCAGGAGCAGCTGATTTATCCCAGCCTTTCCCCAGGACTCCCAGCCTTTCCCCAGGACTCCCAGCACCCTGGGGTCACCGCCACCCCGACACGCACGTTTCCATGAATTCCACAGGCAAGCTCAGGAGATGTGGCAGGAATTCAGCTCTGGATGGAGCACAGTTCTCCTTGGAGCTTTCCACTGAATCCAGACTGGTTTGGGCTGGGGGGACCCCAAAGCCCACCCAGTGCCACCCTGTCCTGGCAGGGACCCTCCACTGTGCCAGGAGCTCCAGCCCCAGTGCCCAGCCTTGGGCACTGCCAGGGAATTCCAGCTGCCCAGGGAATTCTAGCTGCCCTGGGAATTCTAGCTGCCCTGGGAATTCCAGCCCAGCCAGGATTCCCTTCCCAATGTCCCGTCTAGAGGAGTCTCCCTTCAGCCTCCCCTTTCCCAGCGCGGTGCTTCAAGGCGGAGGAAGGTGCCAGCCCCCCAGGCATTCCCTGCCTGGCATCTGGGGTGCCACGGGGCCCCCAAACCCTGCTCCTCCCGGGCTCCAGCCCACGGATTGCCCTGGATCCCCAGAGCCCTGCCCGCTGTGCCCTCAGGGGTTTGGGCAGAGCCCTCCCTGTGCTGAGCACAAAGCTCCAAACCCACGGGGGATGGGGATGTGGGGGCAAAACACCAAAATCAGCAGCACAGAATGACACTTAATCAATAGTGGGCGGCCAGATGAAAAGCTGGGCAATCTGTTTCACAGGTAGCTCAGGGATTAAAAAAACCCAAAAACAAACAAGAGGAAAGAAGTTAATGAAGGTTCCCCAAAAGCA